CAGGGCTGAACCGCGTTTAACTTCATTAAACTGTTCTGTTTTGGTATTTAACTGTTTTTAAATGTAGCTTTTGAGCAATTTACTGCTGTTTTACAGATTTACCCTGTTTCATTCAATTGCAGATAAGAACTAGTAGAATCACACAATAAAGATTATTTTACATGTTAACCATAGAAACACACAAACTGTATATAATGTCCACATCAAAAATCCTTTTTTTTTTTTTTACAGATAGTATTTCATTATTTTACAATATTTGACCAGAAAATTACATTATTTTTAAAATATCGTTAAATCAGAACAAAATATTGTGATTTTACAGATATTTGCCACTATTTGAAGAAAACGTTTGTAGATTAAGGTATGAAAAAAAATGTGAAAAAAAAGAACTTATTGTACATATTTTGTCATTTTTGTTAAATTAAAGATAATATCTAGTAAAAAAAAAAAAGTATTATTTTAGGTTCTGACTGTAGAAAAAACAGACCGAAACTATTCATGATGTACAACGTGACCATAAACTTACACTGTTGTACCGTATTTAAATCAGATGAGAACGTCATTATTTGCAGATATTTGGCATCATTTTTACTGCTCTTACAATTCTGAACATTACAGTTTCATTTTTTTAACATAAAAAAAACTAAAACCATGAACCCACACAGCCTCACATTTAAGAAGCAGAAACCTGAGCGTGAGGTTTTTTTCTTCTGACATCACCTAAAGGAATAATGTTTTATTGTTTTTCTTTTGTGTTTTATGTATTATTTATCAGAGAAAACACAAGGCTTCGGTACCACATGGAGGAAGGCAACGTAGGCAATTCTCCATCACAATTCCAACTTATTTCAGAGTGAAATAGCTCACCCAGAAGGCCCTCCAAAGATAAAGAGTCTGGCAGTGCAGGGCTTACAGTTCCAGTGTATTTTTTTTTACACATGGCATGCCAACATTGTTTCCTGCTGCAGTAGAAAGAACATTGTGACAAGATTGTGCACAATTTTAGCAGACTGACGTCTGACTCACAGCACTGTTACGCGTGAAAGAGGGTTCCTTTCTGCTCTTTAATAAATAAAACGTTCTTTTTTGGAGCTTGTTTCCACTCTCCTTTACACTGTTAGCGGTTTGTCTGAACACGGCCTGGGTCTTTGGAGAAATTCATGCTTCCTCCTTTTAGAAGAAGCCATTTGCTGCCGATCTCATACAGCATGAAAAACAACCTCCAGTGACTTGAAAATTGCCCGCACTAGATAATCCATCACATCAGACACCTTAATGTGGTTCTGCCACAGTTTCTGTTTTATTTCTTTTTCAGTGCGCCTGAGACGAGTGATTGCATATCTGTGCCCTCGTCACATCACCCGCTCCTTACTGTCAATCACTTTGCACACACAGGAGCTGATAGACGCCTCTGCCAGGACGTCCTCTGTGGAAAACATTTCACTTAAGCCACTTAATTGTCGGATTACTTTGTATTTAGCAAAAGATGGGTAAAGATTTTAGATCTTATAAACAAAGAAACCCCTAAAGGTGTGCTCGGATGGAATTGAATATCAGAGACAGCTTGATTGTACACAAACAGAAAGGAAATTCTCTGCAGGTGTCCCAAACTGTTTGAACATTGAAACTGTGGGACTCCACTTTATAAATATACAGAGACAAGAGAAAATCTGGATGAAAAAACCTCGACTGTCTGCATTTGCTGCTTGTGGACTGCAAAAACAATCCAGTCAAATTCTCACAAACAGAACCCAGAATGCAGAAAGCTACAGATTGCACCTCTAAAGGTGAACTTTAAATGCATCAGAGTGTACCTACAGGTTGGGAGGAGTGTGTGAAAGATGCTGGATAGAGCCCTGAAGTGTGCTAAAAGTTTAAAACTGACAAAAACCACGAGGGTGGAGTGTGAAAGAAGTGAGAACATTGGTTAATTTTCACCACGTTAGTTTATATCAGACCAAGAGAGGTTGCATCAGCCAAATCTCGTGGCGTATTTTATTGCTTATTGTGTTCCCAGATCTTGATTTGGTGAGTCCAATGTTGTCACAACCTATAAATGTGATGACCAAAACTATTAAAAACAACAAGCCCATGTTGTAATTAAACAGGTTTTCTTTTACTGCTACAGCTGCACATCGAGCACCAATATTCTTCTACTGCTTTAAAAACACTTCCATGGAGTGGAACAGGGTGAACTTTTCATCACTATCCCAAGAAATGTCACCTTTTACGGCGTGGTCAATTACATTTAGTTACACTGGGGTTCTTCATCTCAACGGTAGATCCCATTTGCATAAGAAAATGTCAGCGTAGTACCTGTTTTGAATGAAACATTAATGAGATGAAGCTCAGGAATACAGCCCAATCCACTCTGATTCACTGAGTAATGGGATCAGCGCTGCAGCTGATGCTAGACAGTGATACGACATTGTTAGCACAATGGAACCATGCAGCAGAGATGCAGGCTGCTGTTTCTTGGTGTAAGAGGAGCCGCTTGGTCGCTGTGTGTGTGAGCATGTGCACGAGGCGACGGGGGTAGATCATGTGTCACAGAGAGTTAATAAGAAAG